ATTGGGATGTGACAGAATGGTATTAGAGCCACTCTGCTGTGTGGTGCAAGGGTGCCGACGAGGACATCGGGCCTATAAGGGGGGTGGATTGTAATATCCCACATCGACCAACGGAGAGGGGGTGATGTGCCTTATATGTATATGCTCACATCCATATAGCACGAGACTTTTTGGGGACTCACTAGCTTTGGATTCCATTGGAACTCCGAAGTTAAGCGAGTTCATGGGAGAGCATTTTCAGGATGGGTGACCCCCTGAGAAGTTCTCATGTGAGTTCCTATAAACAAAACCGTGAGGGCGTGGCCGTGGCCCAAAGAGAACAATATTGTGCTACAGCGGAGTCGAGACTGGGATGTGACAAAATCTCTAGTTGAAAATTTGTTGAGCTCCAAAATTGTTGCAATAAGATTTGACGCTGGTGGAGAATTCTTAGATATTAATTTCTCCAATTACTTCAAAGAACATGAGATTTTCCATCAACTTAGATGTCCTCACACACCAGAACATAATGGTTGTGTTGAATGCAAGCATAGACATCTATTTAAAATTGTCATAGCTCTTCTATCTGCTTCTAAAGTCTCACACTTTTATTGGGTTTAAGCCTTCTCTACAACCATCTATCACATCAACAGAATGCACACTGGCACCAAAACATCACCTTGAGAAAATTTTATTTTATTGCATTTTTTTTTTTTCCACAAGTCTTCAAATTATGCATCTCTCAAGGTTTTTGGTTGTAGGTGCTTTCCATGGTTAGAGTCCTATATTACTTCTAAGCTTGATCCCAAAAGTTAACAGTGTGTCTTATTGGGTTATAGTTTAAATCACAAAGGATACAAGTGCATTGATAATCAAATTGAGAGGATCTACATCTCAAGACATGTCATTTTTTATGAATTCACATTTCCTTTTCATCAAAAGGACTTCACTATTAGTTCCATTCCTCCATTACCCACTCAACCTCACTCATTTCATCAACATTAACATTTAAAACAGTTAATGCCATTAATTTAACTCCTCCAACATCTACATTACCTATCTCACATTTTCCAACCCCATCACTCTCTCCATCTTCTTCCCCTGTCACCACCGATGTTGTTCTTGTACCTACTCAATTCCATGCAACAAATACTCATCCTATGCAAACCAGATCAAATATCATATCCATTCTCAGTTATCTCAAGATCATACACCTTCTACTTATCATCAAGCTTCAAAGCATTCCCATTAGAGACAGGCTATGCAAGAAGAATTGAATGCACTTCTTCATACTGGAACTTGGTATCTAGTACCTTCAAGTCCTTCTCAGAACTTACTAGGCTGCAAATGGGTTTTTAGGATCAAAAGGAAACATGATGGCTATATTGATAGGTATAGAGCCAGACTTGTTGCCAAAGGTTTCATCAACAACATGGATTGGTCTATACTGAAACTTTTAGCCCAGTTGCAAAACTTGTTACAATTAGACTTCTTCTCACTCTGGCAGCTAAGTTTGGCTGGTTTTTATATCAACTTAATGTGAGTAATGCATTTCTCCTTGGAAATTTATCAGAATTTGTGTTTATAGTGCAACCTCTTGGTTTTGAAGACCTTTCTAAACCAAACTATGTCTGTCAATTACGAGAGCTTGGTATGAGAAACTATACACACCTCTGCATTCTCATGGTTTCTTAGGATCATAGAATGATCATTCTCTTTTTGTCAAGAATGATCTTACATTGATTTTTATCTTAGTGTATGTGATGACATTCTTGTCACTAGTCTATTTCCTTAAGCCCGCAAGGATACAATCTCTCAACTCAGTGATCTTTTTCCTGTTAAGGATTTGGGACCCCTTTATTTCCTTGGAATTCAAATTAAGAGATCTTCTTCAGGCACTTTCATTTATCAAACTAAGTACATCTTGGACTTACTTAAGAAGGCTAACATGGATGGTGCTAAGCCTAGTGTCATTTCTCTCAGTACATCAAAATTGGATCATGATTCTTCTCTTCTTCAAAATCCGGAGGAATATAAATCTTTAGTTGGTGGCTCGCAATACTTAACCTGGACCAGACCAGATTTAACATTTGCAGTGAATCTTGTGTATCAGTTCGTGCATAGTTCCAAACAATCTCACTTTAAGCTATCAAACGAATTTTAAGATACCTTAAAGGTACTCTTCTCATAGACTCTAGTTTCCGAAATGTTCTAAGCCTCTTAGTATCAATGTTTTCTCAAATGTAGATTGGGCTGGTTGCAATATAGATAGAAGGTCCACTTATGGGTTCTATGTTTTTCTAGGAAATTATGTTATTAGTTGGAGTCCAAGAAATAACCAATTGCGGTCAGATCTTCCACTGAAGCTAAATATAGATCACTTGCAAACATTACAGCTGAACTCATTTGGATCTGCAAGTTACTCATTGATGTTGGCTTAGTTCTTACTTGTCCTCCTAAGCTATGGTGTGACAACATTTTTGCCATCTCCTTAGCCAACAATCATATCTTCCATGCCATAACGAAACATGTGGAAATTGATTACTAGTATACTAGGGAGAAAGTACTAGCTAAAATAGTGACTATTCTTTTTGGCTGCACACAGGATCAAATTGCAGATATCTGCAGCAAAGCATTGTCCAAGTCAAGATTCATTCTTCTCAAAGACAAACTTTCTCTTTGATTACCTCAGCTTAGTTCGAGGGGGATAATAAGGGCAGCTTCGTTATGCCTAGTTACATTAATTTTGAGTTAGTTAGATGAGCTATAATTACAAGTGAGTAAATAACTTGTATATATAGACATATGTAATTTTATTTTCATTAAGAACTGAAATCTTAATTTTTTTATTACGGATCTTTATTTATTTATTTATTTTCGTTGATCTCAAAAAATTGCTAATTTCTTTCCACTGATTAGCAAATTTTTCGACTGGGCAATTTTTGTTGAAGGGGGTTAGCGCGGTTGTAGTGGAATTTGGATTTGATTTTCTGTACTATGGTCTAATGGTATTCCTCTTCATTTGAAAGTAAGAGGTCTTAAATTCAAATCTCGTGGATGACGAATTCAATACCAAATTAGGTTGAGCTTGGCCGAACTTCCCCTCCCCTTAATGTAAAAATATCAATGTACTTAAAAAAAAAAAAAACACTAGACTGTAGTATTAAAGAACATTACTAAATAGTATTTTTTATTTTTTATTTTTTATTTTTATTAACACAGCTTGTAATTGTTACTTGAGTCCCATGATTCCGATTTTGTCAATTACCAACCCGGTGCCCATGCTTCACGTTCAGGAAAACTAATGAAAAGGACAAAATAAAGAGTATGAATAGTACCAAGTTTGACTTTTTAGTGTAAAAATGTGATTTTTCGTTAAAATGAACAGTACCGTGAACTTTTCGTTAAAACTCCTATATATTATGACCTTTTCGTGTCAAATCTTAATAAGTTCCGTTCAGGGGTATATATTAGAGACTTACAATAGTGTTGTTAGGTGTTAGGCCCTCCTTTAATGGGATGGCCAATCCATCGAAACACCCAAAACAACTAAAATAGATTATCCATATAACAAAAGCACTTATGAGCAAAAAGTGCTTTTGAACTTTTACTCTTTGAAGAACATTGCACTCTGTTCTGCTAACATAAACTTTAGTTGAAGTGGACTTACTAAGGCAAAACGCTAGTGTCTGAAAACCTGACTTGAGAAAATAGGATCTAAAATAACACAACTAAGAAGACGGTACAAGGGGTGAATTGAATGCCCTAAATGGGCAGGGGTTGAAAATAGGCCTCGTTTAGTGTCAATGAATGGATTGGATCGGATTAAATAACTCACTAGATTTAGTATACTTTGAAACAAGAAATGGATGCCAACTTCCAATTGTTATGTAGTTGAAAGTAGAAGATTTGATTACTTACGAAGAAAACTTATCCATTCCAATCTAACAAAAATAGTTGGATTGAGACAGATTTGTTTCCTTCACGACTAATCCATCTTCAAATTTCAACAAACAAATTTTGAAGTTGGTATCCATTTCTTCTTAACATACATTGAATCTAGTGCGTCATCCACTCCACCACAATTTTCAACACCAAACGAGTCAATAGAGTAGAAGGCAACAGAGACCTGGTTTGTCTAATTACAAAGGCAACAGAAACCTGTGAGTCCACATCAGGATAGAACATTGATAGAATGCCAACGCATTACCTGAAAATGGAAAAGGGTCTATATTGTATTTAGCTGTTGTTATGTGGGAAGCATGTGGCAGTGCGATTTTGGTGTTGCAACTCCAGGAAATAAAAGAGTATATCGATCTAATCTTCATTGTCTAAACACCACCCCGGTTGACTTAACTTCTTCAGAAGCCCCATCAAACCCTTATCAATACAGGAAAGTAGGGAACTAGCTCTTACTCTAGCAAGTAAGCATGCAAGTCGCCCCTCTCTTTCTGTTAGTAGAAGAATTTCTAGTAAAAAGTCTAGCCTAATGCTCAATAGGATGTTCATCGACATAGGAATCGGCACAGTGCTCAAAACTGCAGTCCTAACAATCAGAAAACCTAAAATCCTGATTCTTTCAAAGTCTCTCTTTAAAGCTTCTAGTTTCCTTTGATGGTCTCTGTAATCTAGTAGTGCTTCTCCTACTAAACCGGAGTTGCAATATTCGGTCTGCACCAACCTACTTTTATCATTTCCTAAAAAATGTGAATACAGCATTGTAATCCAGAAAGAATATTACTATATGGGATTGTACAACCTACACAAGTACTTCAGCAGTTATTTTCAGGTAAAACATTCCTACTCCCCAGCCATGCATTCGATGAACGATGCATAAAACTGAAAAGATCGCCTAGTACAAACTTCAGAGACTAGACCATCACAAAACATACAAAAATACTCCACCCAAGAGTTATCAGTATTTAAGAAAGCTGTTCCCATCTATTGGAATCCAAGAAATCAACAAATAGCATGGCACATAGAAACCCAAAATGAAAATCAATCGATAATTGCGAATGTACTTCACCAAGTAACATCTATATCATTATAGATAAAAAGAGATCCTTCTTACAACAGCGGCATGTTTCATGTATCTTCTGCTACGAGGAACATAAAATAAAACAAAAAACAGAAAGCTCAAAATGACATAAGCTTGGGACCATTATCCGGCATACCCATCCCAGCAGCTAAATCAGCGTCCAGCTGAGTGTGAGGTGCATCCCCCATCATTATCTTAACGCGCTTCTTGTGACGCTTCGTCTTGAAATGATCGTCCCTCACCGATGCGTTGTTAAAGTATCGGCTACAATTTCAAAACGAAGTTGCTCACTTAAGCAAAATTAACAAACCCAAGTAACACAAGCTAGTAACACCAATGAATCTCAAAGCTGGGTAACTTTCCATTTTTTTTTTCTCAGCAACCAAACAGACCCAGATAAAGTTTTCCACAAAAAATCAAAAACTAAAAGAAGATAAAAGCTTACTCGCAGTGTAGGCAATAGTACTGACCCATCCCAGGAAGGTCCTGGTCCTGAGGCAATGGCTTCGCCCCGTCTTCTGCCTTCTTCAGACCATCATACACCATATCGTCGCGTGATCAAATTCTCAGTCAAGGAACCAAATCAAAATTCCAAAAAATTGTAAAAAAAAAAACGAGAAAGTAATAATTGCGGCGAAGAAAAAAGGATATCTTTGATTTCGAATTTGGCGCGGCGGTGAGTCTTGTGAGAGTATCTTCGTTTCTTGACGCTTCTGTGTGGGCACTTACCTCCCATTTTTCTTGGATTTGAAGTTTCGGTTTCTGCAACTGCGGGTTAGGGTTTCGTAAACCCTAGAAACGAAAAAGAGAGATGGTCAGGGGAGGAATTTGGGGATTTATGTTGCTTCGGGGATGCGGTGTCGTTTCGAAACTTTCTGGACGATATTGTTGTCGGTCGCATTGTGTTGGCCTGTTAAAAGAGGGATGAAAGCCCATTTTCTAGGCCCAAATAATACAAACTTCAGATAGCCAATGCTTTAATAACAAAAGTAAAAATGTAAAATATAAAATGACTATTTAAGATCCATGAGTTTTTAAATATATTCACATATGTATATATCAATGCACACCAAAATTCACTGTGATAAAATTCTCTTATATTCCCATTATAATTGAACAATTCCAAACATTGTATAGGTTTTCCATGGCTGAACTTAACACGTATGAGAATCTTATTAATCAAACCATTTGAGAACAAAATTCCATTTGATTTCAATATGCTTGATTCTTTTTAGAACTGGTCGAGAAAATAATTATGCTATGAACTTATAAGGTAGGGTAATTGAGAAACAAGAAAAACTGTATTTTGCAACATGTGAGTTTGTAACTGAATTAATAATAGGCAATCGTATCTTCTTTGAAATGACGGTAATTTCCTCAGGAACTCCATTTTATACATTTATACAAAGCTGCCAAGAGATTACATCGAACTGAATTTCAAATATTATATATTTAGTTGAAGATCCAAGAAGAAAGAAATAAGTTAGTGGCACAACCACGCAAATTTTTTTTTTTTTTTTTTTTTTAAACAAACATAGAGTTTGGTGTGAGATGAAAAGTGTAAGAGTAGTATGGGAAATAAGTTGGGTGTTTTAAGATAAATTGTAATTTAAAAAGTAGATGTGGAGTGTATCAGGTAAGCACGATGTAGTCAATAATATGTGGGGTGTTAATAAAATAATCATTTTTGCAGTTGCATTTAAATCTCAAATAATAAACCCAATTGTAGTTGTCCAAACTTATGGATGAAATCATCAAAATTTAAGGGTGTTGTTATTGACACTCAAAAAATAGTCAATATGCATTCCTCCTAAAACATTAAATGCATACAAAATGACTGTTTTTTTTTTTTTTTAACAAGAAGCAATAGTATTTTCATTAAGAAACAAGAACACAATTACAAACAGACGGTAATACAATTAAAAGGGTTGAAAATTAAAGGTGGTTTTGGAGCTGTTTTATTTTTTTGTTAAAGGTGGTTGTAAACATGAAAATTCTTACAACTAATGATAGAAGAATATGTGTACAAAATAATACTTATATAAATGAATGTTTAGGGTTACAATCTGTGTGGTTTATTTGTTAGAACCCACATCGCCCAGGGGAGTGATCTTTATATGTATATTCTCATTCCTACCTAGCACAAGGCTTTTTGGGAGCTCACTGGTTTCGGGTTCCATGGGAACTCCAAAGCTAAGCTAGTAGCGTGCGAGAACACTCCCATGATAGGTGACCCATTGGGAAGTTCTCGTGTGAGTTCCCAGAAATAAAACAGTGAGGGCGTAGTTGGGGTCCAAAGCGGACAATATCATGCTACGGTGGTGGAGCGGGCCCAGGATGTGGTGGACCCCGGGCTAGGATGTGACATTTTTATTTTTAGAAGTATTCCTCTAATCAATCTCCAAAGTAGAATCTGATTCAAGGGTGATGAACACTTGATCTTGAATCGAGCTTGAAGTTTTTTTAAGGGTCATTGAGGCTTGATCTTGAACGAAACAGGGACCACGAAGAGTTTCACGTGGTGGGTGGTCTTTGGCTTTGGTCGTGGATGAACCAACACGTGTGTTTTTTGTGCTTGTTGGTTCTCCACGGGCTAGATGAAGAACATAAGAGTGTTTGGGTATTTACTTTGGCCAAAGAGCTAGATTTCTAGTTTTCTCCAAAGCTTAGACTTGCTTCCCTTCTCTCAAGTCCATTTCTTGAAAATGAGCCTAGAGTTATACGTACCACAATCTAAACATGATGAACTATGAGATTCATTTTTTATTAGGAAAACTAATGAAATGGCTTGAAAACTTTGAGTTTTAATCAAAAGGACAAAAAGATGTTGTAAGTAAATAGTACTAGGAGTGACTATTTAGAGTAAAAATGTCATTTCTGTAAAAAATGAACTAGTACCGAGAGTGTTTCATTAAAACTGCTTTTTTATTTTATTTGAGCTAATAATTAATTTAGATCTTAATCAAATCAGAATCATTGATTTAGGAAATTAAATCCTAATTGATATAATTTGACCAAATTATGATTAATTTGTCCCCTTTGTATTTGATTTGATTTGATTTGTTTGGTGAAAGCTTCAAATGCTAACATGTGCCACTTTTGATAGCCCATTCAGTTATGATGAGTTACATACCATCTGTGCAATTTGTGGACCGATGATGTTCACCACATAAACCGTGGCGGCTCAAAATTTAATTTGTTGATAAACATTTATTTTGTCAAAATTTACATGTCTGCAATGGTTTTGAGTTCAAATATCATGGGCTTAGGATTTGAGAAATCTCATGGCAAGAATTATTGGTTAAGAAAACAGTTACATGAGAGAATTTTTATCTTTCAACATGCCCTTTTGTTAATATTACTTCAAATGTATTGTGAATATACATGCCATTCACAAGGGCCCTGACAAGCTCATGGCTTCAAACGTTAGAATTTTAGGTGACAAAATAATTTCTTTTTCCCAATACAGTGATATATTTACACTAAGGGATGAGGGTAATAGATTGGTATCGAACTTCTCATTTCAGAGATTAAAACCTAAGATCTCTCACTTACAGATGTAGATAAATGCTACTAAACCATAGTACTAAGTAGCAAATGATGGAACAAAATTTAATGAGAAGAGCTTGGCTTCTTAAGGTTAAGGAGGAGTTCCTCCTCAAAATACTTTGTAGCCTACTCACAAAACTTCCTGCTTATGATTGGAATCATTCATATTGTACATCATCATGTAAAGATCATCTCTTCTAAAAATCAATTAAAACAAAAATCGTCTAGTAAAACAATTGTAGCAAATTGATAGACGGTTCATAATACTTTCATTGAATTCGTCCATCTGTTTTTATATAGTTCAATAACTAAAAGGTTTTAGTTTTAATTGATTTTTTTTGGTAGGATAATCTTTACATAACAATTTATAATATGATGGGTTTTGATGATAAATGTAAAGTTATGTAAATATGCCATGACGTATTTTGGAGGGTTCTTCCTCAATTATAAAGGAGTTTCTCTTCAATCCTTAGCCATCCATGTTAAATTGACATGGCTAGATCCCAAATCCAACCCAAACACACCTCCACCCATTTTTGGGTCGCCAAGGCTCACCAACCATGGCTCGCGCATGTTGATTCTGAGTCCAAGCCCAAATCCATGGTGCTAATGCCAGCAAGTCCACTTTATTTTTTTTGCGCCAAGTGTGTGCGCCACACACGCCCATCTAGGAGAGTGGCATGACAAAAATTAACTGCTTGTGGCTCGCCATAACAGTTGGCTGGGCTTCTAACGGCTACTTGCCATATGGCCACATCTCAGACGTCTATTTCTATTTCTCACTTTAATCCAACGGTTCTTACTATTTTTTCGTAATAATATTTCTTTTTAAATCCAAAAAATATAAAAAAGATTTTGAAAAATAGCAAAAAATCAAATAAAAAAGGGTGAACTGCCAATTTAGTCCCTGAATTATCACCTCAGTGAAAATTAGGTCCCTAAACTATTTTTTCAGAAAAATCAATCCTTGAATTATAAAAATCGGCCAATTACATCCCTAATATTATATTCAAAGGTCATAAATTCAATTTTCCAGTCAATTTAAGTCACGTTACTTGCATGTGATGCACTATTGGAGGGTAGATTGGTAGTTTTTCATTAAGAACTAGTGTATGAGTTAATTTTGGAGGCTAAATTGGTAGTTCCACGTAAAAAATAGTGTAATTTAACTTTTGAGGGTAAATTAGACATTAGATTCGCAACCTATATGAAATGTTAAGGGCTTATAGGCAAGAAAATAACGGTATTACATTCTAAAGTGTGTCAAGTGACGTAAGTTGACGAAAAATTGGATAAAATAACTTTGAATATAATAGTAGGGATGAAATTAGCAATTTTTAATGAATTTAGGGACTTATTGTACATGAAAAAATAATTCAGGGACCTAATTTTCACTGAGGTGATAGTTCAGAGACTAAATTGATACTTCACCAAAAAAAATATAGTACAATGTTCACTTGTAAATTTAATTTATATATAAATACTAAATCCTTTTGGAGGGTAAATTTGGTACATAACTGACACGTGAACTACCACATTGTTGTTGGCTTTCTTCATCAACCCACCGTTAAAATAACTTGGGAGTTATATACCTCTTGCTCAATTTCATTATTTGTGTTGTCTCGTGTTCGTTTTTTATTTTGTTGCCCGACTCTCTCTAGCAAGCGACTAAAGTAAAACCTTGAAGATAAAACAACTCCTATGAAATTTGAGAATTGAGAGGGATAGAGAGGGTATAGATGATTGGTGTGAAAGATATGAAGCATGTATCCTGATATTTATGTGTAATTAGGAGATGAGGCTAAAGATAGGATTTGCACACGTGGCGCAACGAGAAAACCTACTTTTATGAAATTTGAGAATTGAGAGGGATAAAGAGGGTATACACGATTGGTGTGAAAGATATGAAGAATGTATCCTGATATTTATGTGTAATTAGAAGATGAGGCTGAAGATAAGATTTGCACACATGGTGCAACTGAGAGTAACTAGATTTATTCAAAAAGCTCAACAAGATTTCTGATAGATATGGCTGAAGATAAGATGAGGACACGTGGTGCAATGAGAGAAACCGAAACCTACTTGAAAATCTAAATAAGATTTTTATTGACATGGACACGTGGCATAATCATAGTCATCTATTTTAAATTAATCTCATCCATTGAGTACAACTAAATAATTGAATTATACATTACAAATCAATATTTGTGAGTAGTAACAACCATGTCAATTACTATTCACTCTTTACCCATTATGA